TCTTTGTGAGTATTGTGCCTGCTCTAGCTTTGCGTGTGTTCTGTGCTGCCTCTGTCCTGGTGCACTCCATGTCTGTTCTGATGAAGGCCATCACTGTTATGTAACAGAGGACAGTGAGGGGTGATATGATGAGGAAAGGAGAAATTAGTTACAAATCTCAGAAACAGAAGGAAAAGGGTTTAAGTGAGCGCATTCTGGAACTGGAAAGATCTGAATTCAAGCCTCACCAACTATTTCCTTACTATGTGATCCAGGGCAACTTAACCCCTCTGCATCTCATTTTCCTGCAGCATGACCCACTTGCATGGGATTGTTCTGGCATCCAAATATTTGTAGAGTCTGACTCAAGGAAGAACTTGGTTAAGGATTAATAATACCATGACTCTAACATTTTGCCCATCCTCTGGTGCCCCATTCTCATCCAGCCAATGAAGTCACCCCAGGGGTCTGTGGAGGAGCAAGATGAGCTGGAGGAGCCTGTGTATGAAGAGCCAGTGTATGAGGAGGTCGGGGCTTTCCCTGAGCTTACCAAGGACACGGCCGCCTTCTCTTCCACATGGGAGTGGACAGCCAAGTCAAAGACACCCCTTGCCAGCCACAGGTCCTTTGATCAAACCCCTGTCTCCAAAGCAAGCCAGGAGGAGAAGACACCAGACTATTCTCCAGGCCCCCCTTCAAAGAGCGGTCCTCAGGCACGGGGGTCCCTGGAGGAACAGCTGCTCCAGGAGCTCAACAACCTCATCCTGAGGAAGGGAGAGCCTGCCACATGTCCAGAAAGTCCTTCCCAGCCCACCAGTCCCCAAGCCCCCAGCGCCACCAGCATTTCAACACAGGCACCCAGTTTACCTACCCAAACTCCCAACACTTCCAACCTAGCCTCCAGCCAGCCTCTCACATGACCCCAGGCACCACTGGGAGCTGCTTTTGCCCTAGATGGACGACTCTGGAATCCAGTATGGTACCATGGAAGGAGCACTGGACTGAGAGCCCTGGAGACTGTGTGTCTCAGGGACCCAGCCCATTTGTCTATACTATGAAGTCACTAAAATAAGGAGAGGAGCAAACAGCAAACTTTGCTTCTGAGCTAGAAGTCCTAACATTTTTCCTCAATAAGAGCAGCTCCTGCTTTATATATTTGATAAAGTGTTTCAGTGAGAGGTCTGGGGGATAAGGATGTTGTACTGCATTAAAGAAAAGCATAAATTTGGAAGCTAGAGATATGCATGCGGTTCAGATCTTCTTATTCTGCTTCCCATGTACTGGAACTACCCTCAGGCCCTAGAGTGGGGTGATCGATTGAGGTTGGGAACTGGGGCAAAGGGGAGCCAAAAAAGAATGGGTCTCTATTAATAAACTTTGGAACCAAAAGGCTCATTTTTCAACAACATTCATTCATTCAACAAATATGTACTGAACACCTAATTGATGCCAAGTCCAATGATACAATATGAACAAAACAAATGGGGTCCTTGCTCTTATAGAGCCAGAAGAAAGGAAACAGAAAATATACACAGGAGAGTTTAGTACTTCAAAGAAACTAAGTGACAGCTTGAGAGTGAATGTGGGTGTGGCCTTTACACTGGGTGGGTGGGCATGCAAGTCTCTGAGGAGCAGAAACAAAGCCAAGGAGCTGGATATGGGGAATTTGAGGAGCAGGAGTGCAGGGCAAGGCAGGCAACAGGCATGAAAGCTGAGCAGTGCTGTGGGATGGCCTGGTGGGAGGGTGACAGCAGCTGGAGCAGACACTGGCCAGTGGGAGAGGCAAGATAGAAAGATATCGAAGCGCTGAGAATGGTGACAAAAACATTTAATCCCAGAACTCAGGAGCAGAGGCAGGTGGATCATCGAGTTCAAAGCCAATCTGGTCTACAGAGTGAGTTCCAGGATAGCCAAGGCTACAAGGCAATATACTGTCTCAAAAAACATTTTAAAAAATAGGGAAAATTTGGAGGACATGAGAAGGCAGAGAGACCCTTCAGAGCTTCTGGCTAAAGCCTTTGCCAGTGGCACAGCAAGAATTCCAGTATCATTAATTGCTTGAGGCCTTTCTCCCTTACCAGCTGTAAACCTGCAGTTTTCTAGGAATTTCACTAGAAATCCCATGGACAAGGGTAGAATATGTAATAAACCCCTTGTGCAACTCTAGTGGCCTTTGGGTTTACTGTATTAGAATTCTGCCTCCTGAGCTACCACATACATCTCTCTTATCAAAAGAAGAAAAAAAAAAGATGTTTTAGCAACACTTTAAAATGTAATCTGAGAGCTGGGCATGGTAGTGCACCCTCTGATCCCAGAACTTGGGAGGCAGAGGTAGATGGATCTCTGTGAGTTTGAGGTCAGTTTGGTCCACAGGGTGACTTCTAAGACAGCCACTGCAGTTATAATGAGAAACCCTGCCTTGAAAAACAAAAAACAAAAGGATGTAATCTGAGAACCACCAACAGAATATACATGGCTAGTGCTAAGACAAATTAATTGCTTGCACTCCCTTAAGGAGCCCATACCCACACCTGGGAACAAACATACTTTCCCTATGCTCCCTTGGGATACACTCCTACTTTGATGTGTCTTACTTTCTTCTGATTGGTCTTTCTCTTCATTCTTGTGCTTTAATCAATATTAACATATCTTTAATAAAATTTCCAACTCTGTTTTGTTATACCAGCCAGTCTTGACACTCCTTTCAGTATCAATGCCACAGATCCCAGTTTGGACTGAGTTGAGATCTAGGAGACTTGCCTCATCCCAGCCAGTCTTGAAACTCCTTTCAGTATCAATGCCACAGATCCCAGTTTGGACTGAGTTGAGATCTAGGAGACTTGCCTTTAATCCCAGCACTTGGGAGTCAGAGGTGGCAGATTTCTGTGAGTTTGAGGCCAGTTCCAGGACAGCCAAAGTTACACAGAAAAACCCTGTCTCAAAACACAAAAACAAACAAAAGTCTAGGGGGGGTACTCAGGTTTTGTGGGTGGTGACAATGTGGAGCCTTGTCCCTGTCCTTTCAAGAATGACAAGAAGAAAATGCTTTTTGCAGGGGCCCAATCATCATATCCTTGTAGCCTGTATTCTATTTGGATTTTAGGCATTTGGGTTTTCCTTGAAAACAATTACATTCGAAGCATAAAAGGCTGTTATCTTAGCTCTCTTTTCAGTCACTGACCACTGTAGGAACAGTGGGTTGTGGGAAGAAGCTGGAAGTAAGAAGACTGGATGTTAACCCTGGAAACTGATAATTAAGTATCCGAGTGGAGTGGTGGTCTTGGAATTTGAGGGAAACAGATCACTAGGAATGCCACGCCCACTCCACCCCCGTGTGTGTTCAGCAATACAACTTGTATCTTACTGATGGAAGGGTTGTAGGACAAAATAAATTTAAAGCACACTGAGGGGCTAGGGAGATGGATCAGGGGATAAAGGCACTTGCTATGTAAGTGTGTTGACTTGAGTTCAAATTCCTAGCACCATAAAAAAGCTGGACTTACTGTAGTGCCAGCGCCTGAAATTCCAGGGCTAGTGGAATCCTCCGCAGTTTGTAAACTGGCTACTCTGGCATACACAGCAGAAAAACAATGGAGACCCTGTTCGCTGACCTATGCCGGCACACATGTGTACACACACACACACACACACACACACACACACACGCACGCACGCACGCACCACTCTAAAATTCGTAAATTGGGGCACAAAGACCCAAAATGATGACAGAGGCTTTCCAGGCCACACACCCCTTCACTGATACCAGTAGGGCCTACTGGAGCCCAGGATGTACCCGTCTTTTCCTCTGGACTGGTTTCTGCGGGCTCCAGGCATATTTCTTACCCCTCTCACGCTAGCATTTCCAGTTCTGCAGGGATTAAAAAAAGGTGTTTCCCTTTGTCAGAG